GGCCATAGACTGCCCAACCTCAAGGTCAGTCAACCAACACTCCGACTAGAGTGTAAACATGCACAATAAAATATTTATATTACATGTTGTCAAGGCCTTTAAAGGCCACAAACCCTAACACCTAATCTCGAGTCATAGACAACATGAATCAATTTTTTGTCCAAGAGGATGCAATGAAGAAAGAACTCTTGTCCAAAATCATAGCATAGAACAAAAAAGACACCCATTTATATAAGAAATACAATTTGAGGAAAATGCACAGAGATATGCATGAACTGCTTAAGTGTGCAAACATGGATCGGTTACATAGGCAAACACACATACCAAAACAGTTTTGCATAATAGAATTTTGTAGAAAATAATAAAAATGCAAGGATTATATATCCACCAGCATAGGGGAGAAGAACCAAGAGCGACACATACAATCATAATAATGACAAAGCACAAAAGGCAATTGTATCCCAATCACGTGGAATACAACAGAAGGCCCTCATACCAACATTGGCAGTGACAACCATAGTAACTTGACAAGAAACTTATGTCCAGATGTCATCCCTTCAGCGAGGAGATGAGATTGCTGTACATTAGTGATAATGTAAGGGATATAACAAAGGCCTATAAGGGATCGCAGAAGAAGTGGCCAGTGACTTACTAGATTGCAGCTGTATCTGCATATGCATTCAAAGATAGGCGTACACCAACAAAAGTGAAATGTATAAATGTAGGAATATGCTAGGTATGCATTTAACAAAGTAGTCCCTCAACATGGGATTTTTGTTGCCAAATGCTTGTGTGCTCCAGTGCAACTAAATCTAACAACATTATATACTATATTATTGAACCACAGTTAAGGGGTGTACACATGTTATAAAATAAAGAGGGATCCCATCCTCAAAGAGGATGTGGAGAATCGTGAACATAGAAGGAAAAGAAACAGCTCACGAATTTTATTGAAAGAAAAGGCAAGGAGAGATTTTTGGAGGTTTAAGAGAATTGGATATTGATCTAGTATTCTACTCTTCCTCTAAAAAAATCTAATTTTGTAAAGGAAAATTTCCGCATCTTTATCTAAACTTCGCCTCCTCCATATCTTTAAATGCCTTAATCATCCCATGTTTCTCTTTTTGTTTCCTCTCTCTTTCTAAAAAGAGAGAGAGAGATAAGCATGCTATCAATTCTATTCATCTAAAAAGTAGGAGAGTTGTAGCACTTTCCTTTTATGTATTACTACCACTGTATTCTAGTGTGAAGCAACAAACCCGTCTCCCTTGAAGAATGACAAGATAGGGAGAAAAAGCAGTGTGAAAACCAGCACCACCAAGCAAGCCAATACCAAAGAGAAACAACAGTCCATATTCCATGAACAATAATATTTTACATAGGACTTGAGGATTGCCTCAAATTGAAACAACCATGGCATATAGGTTGGCCTAAGATCTGCACTGCCCACTCTAGGATCTTCTCTCTCAATGTTGACATTTCAGTATCTACTCTCTCAATTGGTGAGATGGGGTTTAAATAAGAATGACGTATGTGGGGAGTTAATGGGAAGACATGTTTTGTTGGAAATAATTAATTATTGTTATATCTGAGGGTATACATATTTTTATTGTTGATTAGGACCATAGTTATTGGAAACGATTCCGAATCTGAATTGTTTTAGGAATAGGGATCACAACCAGCTAGAAGATTCCAGATTAAGAAATCGAAGTCCGTACAAAGGAATCATGGGCCGCTTCCAACTCCCCTGTGGGGAATTAGTTTTTGTGTGCCCATCTGATCCTCGCAGATCCTCTTAATAGCCTTTTCACTTTTGTACATTTTGGTCCCTTTAGGGCTTGTATAAAGTGACCTTGTGGGGTCACCATTTTTTCTTTTAGGAATGTTTAGTGTGACCTCGAGGGGTCACCATACTTCTCGATTGTCTTGTAATATTTATTATTAATGCAATTATAGTAAACTTCTCCAAAAAAAAATGCGATTCCTATTTTATGAGAACCGAGATTCAACCAAAATGGAATCGAGATCCTCAACTAGATGGAATTGAGATTCCTAGCTTTAAGGAGTCAAGTTTCCAACCCATTTGGAATCGACCAATATGGAATCGAGATTTTGACATCTCTGGAATTGAGATTACCGCATTACTATTTGAAGGTAGGTATAACAATTGCATCGGTAGTGTTGTTTTTGAAAGTTACCATGCAAGAAAACATCGGTAGTGTTGTTTTTAACGTTCTTCAGAATCAAACAGAGGTATGATCAGATCTGAGGGTGTAACCAAATCTAAAAAGCTACTTTTTGGAAGAGATCTAAGAGGTTCTTTGGAATAGAAAAGTAATGTGATCAGACCCCGGGTTTTCTTCTCCTCCACTGATTAATCTTCTATCTCTCTCCCTTCACCTTTTTCAACCCTAAAATCTCTCTCCCGGCACTGGGCAGGCATCAGGCCCCATACATGGTCTTACGACTTTGCAGAGACCTGTGTTTTTGGTAAACAGTCGCCCGGGCCTGGTCACTGCGACCCCCTTTGTGAAGAGCACCCCTTCTCTCGAAGTTACGAGCTATTTTACCGAGTTTCTTAGAGAGAGTTCTCTCGTGCCCCTAGGTATTCTCTACCTACCCACCGGTGTTGGTTTCGGGTACAGGCACCCTTTTATTGAAGGTCGTTTGAGCTTTTCCTGGGAGTATGGCTTGGGTTACTTCAGCGCAGTAGAGCCTGGTACTCGGACATTGGCTCGAGGCATTTCCTCTACCCCCTCTTACCCAGAAAAAAAAAAGCAAGGTCACCTTGCGTCCTTGAACCGATAAACCACCTTTCGACTAACCTAACCTCCTCCGTCCCTCGGGACCAACAAGGGGTAGCACAGCAATATTCACCTGTTGTCCATCGACTACGCCTTTCGGCCTGAGGTCTTACCTTTCAAAAGGGGTAGGGCTTTAGCCTCTTAGCCTCGTCTTCTCATAGTACACCTCTTGTGTCTAATTTATTTAATGGAACTCCACTTTGCCATTTAGGGTAGAAAAGCTTCTCGGGTCATAAGGATTTTCTTGGGAGATCTTAAGTTAGCCTGAGTCATGAGCTTCTGGTTTTTCTTAGAGAGCAAAAAGATGGTGTTTTTTTATGAAAAGAGAGCAAAAAGATGTTTAATATTGGGTTATCAATGTTTCTAAGTTGCGTTGTGTAGCTTAGGACTCTAACGAAAGGACTCTAACGACTATAAACCACACATCATTATTAAAATAATGGGAAAATATACAATAAATATATATTTATCTTTATAACAAACGTCTTCATTTTGTTTTGAAGAAGGTGACATTGTATTACTTAATAAAAGATTAGAACAAAAAATGCTCACGAGGAGTGAGTTAAGATGCAGCCCACAAATCAGGTGCTCATGTACAACAAAATAATAATAAAAGGGCGACACAGGAATAAAATGACAAAAGTTGAGAGAGAGGAGAGCTCATGAGAGAGGGAGGAAAGAGAGAGAGTTGAAGATAGACAAGGATAAAGAAATAGGAAATCAGCAGGGAATGGAATTATATCATGTAAGTTATATTATTATGTGTCACGTGCTTTAGTGCATAGCAGGAGCACCCTGTTGGACCACCCCACTTACTCTGGTTCATTGTGTACTCTCATTATATATTTACATATGTACTCTCATTATGTATCTATAAATTCTTAGATATGTATCTTTAATATTATTTTTTTTCAAATAATATGTCCTTAATATTATTGTGAAAGATGCTCTCATTATATGTTTGTCTTCATTATATAAGAGTATATTTGTGATTATATTCTCTTATTGTCTTATTATATATTATAAGTTATGACATTTAAATTTATATTCTTGAAAATTATTAATATAATTTTTTTTAGTTTGTATTATGATTGCATTAATTTTAATAAAAAACTCATAAATTATGATAAAGAAAATAATAAAGATATAATTATTATTGGTTAAATATTGTTTTAGTTAAAACTATTTAATTATGTTAAATATGATCAATATAAATTCATAATAAAATAAAATATTACAAATATTATTTATCAACATTTAATCCTGACTATAATACTAATTACATTAATATTATTGAAATTAAAAGTCAAAAAAAATTATTGAACTTAAATATTAAATAAATAAATAAAACAATGTATATTTAATTGCAATAATCATGTGATAATCACATGTTCATGTATTACCCAATTATTTCTCATAGTTTGTTATAAATTTGTAATCATATGATGTAATAGCAGGAAATATGTCAAAAATCGAAGAACCACTCATTTCCTAGGAAATCTTTTCCAAGATTCATACTCCGCCATAATTCTCTATAAAATAGGAACACTGATGGATATTTGTCTATTCAAGAGAAAAATCAGATCAATATGCAGTTTTGTTTAGGTCGAGCATTGGGTTTAGAAAGTCACATCCCAAATATTACTGAAATCCCATTATTTTTCAGTAAGCTTAGAAAAATTGATCTCTCCTACCATGCACTAGATATAGCAATCCTCAGTAGATTATATAGTTTGAGGGAAATTGTATATTTTTACATCATTTTGATTTCTTTTTACTTTGCTTTATTTCTTTATTCTTCTATCTCTTTACACATTCCTACGTGGAACTTACAAGTCTACTGGATAACATTATGTGTCACATGTAGGTCACAAAAGTCTGTCAAATATGCTGCAAAAACACATAGCACAAGTTTGTGTCTGCATGAGTATGCTTGTGCATAAGTGCCAATAGAAGAGTGCAAATTTAGTTGTTACGATGAAGAGGCTCAAAAGAAAGAAACCAAGCTTGTGTTCAGCAGTACACTTAAAAAGATATTTTCTCCTAAACAGACATTCTCTTCTGCAATTCAGTATAATTTAGAGTTATAAATTACATGTAATGACAGTCTCAGACCATAAAAAGTTAGCCCCAAAGCTCAAGAGTACAAAACGCAAGAAGAAGCATTCTTGCATATTCGGGATAGAAGAAGCTTACTTGGAGAATCACTTCCACTCTCATCAGATGCCACTTTCCATTTTGCAATCTTCCTCACCCTTCCTTTGAAAGAAACACCAGGGGATGCTGAATGGCGTTTCCGTTGAAGTTCTCTAACACTTTCTTCTCCTATAATCAAATTAGCAAAAGATCAACTTCGAAGCACAAAGAAGTAAAATGATACTAAGAGACAAAAGAGGACCTGGGAGTGTGATTATCTGACCAGTAAAAGATTCAGGTTTTGTAGGTAAAGGGTAGTTTTCTTCAACAAGTTTAATCAACAATTCTCGAGGACCAGAGACAAAATCATCCAACTCAAGACCCTGCTTAAAAGATAAAGGAAAAGTGAAAATGCACAATTGATTACTTCACACATGCATATCAGCTAGAAGCATAAGCTATGAATCAGCTGATAAGGACTAAGGAAAGCCAGGGACATCACATAACCAAAGCCGTAACTCACATATTTCGTAACTGCTTCCTCTGTGCGAGCCTCACCAGTACTTTGAAGACCTATCACGACACATTTGCCCTCTGCAAGTGCTTGTTTGGCAAGCCTCACAGCAGCAGGGACTTTTGCTGACATGCACATATGTCTGAAGAAACGCTGGATGCAGCATATATTGAGTCAATCAGCTCAGACTCAGGAAAGCAGGAAAAAAAAGAAAGAAAGGCCATCAAATATACAATAATCATTAAGCGAGATAGACTCAAATTTCTGCATCCAGTTCACCAAGAAAATTAAAGATATATGTGTGCAAGGACCCTTCAAAACTTAAAAACTATCATTGGCGACACCTTGCTGAAATTCATGGAGCATGTGAGCAAAAAACCATACGCTTAAATATAATTACAATTTCAAAACTATGTAAGTCATGGTCCATGTGGAACAGTAATTCTTATAACAAATCTCCCTTGTGTGTGTGTATGTGCATGGATGCGTGTGTGTGTTCGAAGTTTAGCACTAGAGTTCAAAGTTGGTATGTAGTGAACACTTCAACCCATAGTTACTAGAATCTCTCACCCAAAGTCATGATTCTGATTCAGAATCCCGATTCCTCGATTCCGCCAGAAATCTTTGCGGAATCCATTTTCATGAAGTCAAGACTCAATTTCTTATTTTAGAAATTTCAATTCCAACACTTAGAGAATCTCATTTCCAATATTTATCGGTTCTCGATTCCACAACTCTTGAATCTTGATTCTACATTCAACATATAAAAATATTTAATTCAATTTTTTTCGAATCCTAAATTCTTAATATCAAGTACCGTTGTTTGTAGATGTAAGAAACAATGAATTGATCAAACATTGAATCTTGCTTCCACCCACATAGAATCACGATATGATTTTTTGGAATTGTGATATCACAAATTCAAATACTAATGTTCTAGATGCACAAATATGTGATTTATTGACTGGTTCAAGTAGGAATTCGATTTGTGTATAGAGAAACCGGGACAGAGACGATTGTCCCCTATAGTTCCTATGAGCCACCATAGTTCAAGATCTCTGTCACTCTCTATCCATGTGTGTGCTTGATTTTTAAACTTGTAATTTTCCCTTTGATGCTACAATACACATGTAAGCAAAATATAAAAAAAAAAAAGGGAAAATTATAAATACCCCCTCCCCCACCCCCCATTTTAACTTCCTAGACATCCTCCCCCCTAACATTTTTTCTCTCACATCCCAAACCCCAACCCAACTATTTTTTGTATTTACGCCCCAATCAAATCGTCAACTAGATTTGGGACAAAACTGCCTCTTTTTCTCTCTTCCACTTTTCCAAAAAAAATGCGTGCCTCCCATTTTCTCTCTCCTAGTCTTTCCCTCTCACTTTCTCTCTACCTCTCTCTCTCCACCAAACCTTCTTTCTTTATGCCCTAAGTTTTCTCTCTCTCGAACTTTAAGTCTGCTGGAAATCTCTCCCTTTGTCGGAATCTCTCCATCTCGCACGGCGAGTCACTCTCCAGAACTCTCTCTGCTGGAAATCTCTCCCTCTCTGCCAGAATATCTCCCTCTCTGTCGGAAATCTCTCCCTCTCTGTCGGAATCTATCAATCTCTACAGATAGAGAGAGAGAGAAAGAGAGTAGGAGAGAGGATGGGTACAGAGAGAAATAGCGAGGACGAGTGGAGCCAGAGAGGTAGAGAGAGAAAGAGAGAACGGGAGGACAAAAAGAGGTAGAGAAAAAGTGAGAGAGAGAACGAGTAAGAGCGAGAAAGTGAGAGGCACATGATTTTTCTTAGAACGAGAGGCCACTTGTTTTTTTTTTTAAAAGAGGAAGAAAGAGAAAAAGGCAATTTTGTCCCAAACCTAGTTCACTATTTGACAGGGGGGGTAAATACAAAAAAACGTTAGGTTGGGGTTTAAAATGTGAGAGAAAAAGTATTGGGGGTGAGGATGTCTAGGAAGTTGAAATTGGGGGATATTTATAATTTCCCAAAAAATAATAACAATTCAAAGAGCATGGTGTCCAAGACCATAAAGGCTTGCTATTTTTCAAAAGGTAATCGTAGTAGAGATTTAGGTCCGATTCGAATCACGCTTCTAATAGTGCTAGGACTGGCTTGGATCACATTTCTAATTGTGCTAGAAGGATTGGCTACCTTTTTAAAAAATAGAATTCGTAAAGAGTTTTACATTCAGATAGGACTACAACACAAACAACACCATGGCACCGACAAAATCTTAGTTTGAACTATGATAATGAAATAAAAATCACATGTTAAAAAAATGTGAGATAATATTTGTATTCCCTAGTGGACTGCGACTATTTATTAATAAACCTTACTTCTGATATTGTGTCGAAGGCTCAAAAGTCAATACAACGACTTCATATCTACATAACCCTTCTATAGGTCTTAGAGACCTTTGATCCCGATGGCTTGATGAGGTTCCAAATTGTTAAGGCGCGAGATGTCATAGGTAGGTAACTTGATTTTGAAGGGGTTAAAACTCAACCCCATAAAGTGACAAATCTCAATTGCCATGTGGGTCGAAACTCGATTCCAAACTGATATGAATACCGATTCCAAACTGGAATGAATATCGATTCCAAATACATCAAAAACTCGATTCCATAAGAAGTTAAAATTTCGATTCCATATGTATCAATTCCAAGTAGGTTAGAAACTCAATCCTAAAGAGGTCAGAATCTTAATTTAATATATGTAGGGATCTTGATTCCATTTTTGTCGAATCTCAATTCCTATAACGAAGGAATCTCATTTCCCACAATACCCCTTGTATAGATGCTGACTCCGAAAACTGGAATTTTCAAGCCAACCGTGATTCCATGATTCCGATTCCGAAAACAATTCAGAATTTCCAACAATTATGCTCAAACCAGTCAAGCCCAAGCCTGAATGCAACTTTCTATATGAGGACCGACAAGAAAATGACAAAAAGAATTCAAAATTGTAACTTTCCCCAGGCCCTACTTCCTTTTGCACACAGTTGTTACACCAAGGATAACGAATAGCTTGCTGGAGTATCAGCATGTAACTTCCGCCCCTTACAGTTACGCCTTCCCTCTTGCAAGCCAAGGATAGGTCCACATACATGTGTGTGACTGTCAGTGTAAGGGGGTTGGGTTAGTTACTTTAATATCACAGCAAAAATTAAAATACTCAATCCACTTGTTGTCTGCATTTATGTGTCTGTCTGCGTCAGTGTTGGGGCACAGGGTAGTGGCTTTAACATCATAACAAAATATAAAATACTTAATCCAGTCAACCAATACATGTATCCACATAAATATCTAGTATTTCACACCAGAACTACCTGTCTTTCAGTAGAAAATCAGAAATACCAACTATAGCCTTCTAACCAATAAAAGATACCATTCCGAAAGCCATTGCCCAGAAATAACCAGTGGCATTTTCAGTTGCCATGTTGCCTTTGGGTTGCCTCAATCATAAGGGGCCGGCTTTTCACAGATATTATTAAAAGAAATTAGACAAAAGAAATCATACATGAAGCCAAATTCAAAATAACTAGACTAAATTTGTAGCTGTTAAATGCAGGCACATAACCAGTGTTCAAAATTGCGTATTTGGGCACCTAGGCATTTTGGGTGCCTGGCTGCCAAGGGGCCCGGTAGCCCGCCCAGAGACAGGAGACAGGGTGCCCTCCCCTCCCGCCCCAAACAAAAAAAACAGGGGAGTTCTTAGGGCAGGGGTTTAAGTCTTTGAGAGTTTTTAGGGCAATTTTAAAGCCCCAAACTCCGCGTGAAATAGACGAAAATGTAATAGTACAATCACATAATAGAATTGCGGAGACATGTCTCAAAGAGATTGTAACTTGTAAGACATTAAAATGCTTCAAATCTCAAATATAATTGTAGGAAACTAGATCTCAAATATAATTGTAGGAAACTAGAACTCTAGACTAGAAACGATACACAAAGTCAACAAGACAAAATCAAAAAACAAATACATCAAGTTATCAACAAAACATGTAAACATATCGTAAAAGAAAAAAAAGGGTAAAAGAAAAAACACATGATTCGCAACATAATATGTTGTAGCAAAATGATAATACTTTAAAAATGTCAAAATCAAATTGATGTCGGTGCAAACTTCTCGTCTATTGGGTCGCCAAAAATCTTCAAAATCAACTTCTAGAAGCTCTAAATCCACCCACGAACTATTGCCTTTGTTTTGGGAAAATATCGCAAAAATCAAAACTTTATCGATCTTTCGATAAATCACAAAAGAGTAGTTTTTTGGGGAGTTTTTCTCACCCTAAAGCCACGGTTTTTGTTTTGGGGGTTTAGAATAACCCCCAAAACCCTTTTACCCCCATTTTAGGGGGAAAATGGCATTTTTTTAGCCTCGCCGAGGGTTATTTTCGCCCTTCCGCAAACTGTCACTGGGCGGAGCCTAAGCGGGTGCCTAGACTGTAGCGCCTAGGCGGGCGTTTGGAGACAGGCCGCATAATTCCACCGCCAAGACAGTACCTAGATGTTTTTTTGAAATTTTTCACCTAGGGGACCCACCTAGGCAGTCAGGTGTCCAAATTTTCGAACACTGCACATAACTAACTATGCAACACATCAAAGGGCACATCCCTTGGTTGTTATTGTGTCTGAAAATCCTTCCAATACAAGTACAATATCAACTAGAGAAATCACCAGTAAGATATACAAAAAAGTGGAAACAAGATTAATTGAATTGATATTTTTTATTTAATCCCCTTAATCAAAGCACAAGGTATGATTGGTTCACGTGAAACAGGTTGCTAATATTATTTACATACGCAAACAGTTTACAGGAAAGAGTTTCCCAAGCCTGTTTTTCCTATGCTTGGTAAACATGTCTAGAAAACCTTTTTTCTCTGTTTTTTTTTTAAACTGTCACACCCCTACAGCACCTTATGTAATCAATATCATATTTATTGATAACTTCTTTGGGAAGTTGTAATCTAAACTTTGATTGAAATCTATTTTTAACCATTCATAACTACATAAGATTTTATTCATTACATATGGATATCTGCCCATTGTAGGTGATATCTTAAAAATAATCATTCAATTGTTCCCATGTTGCAAAAAACAGAAGTGGTTGTTTTAGACAATAAGTTGTTCAACAATTCATGGATT